TCTCCCTTATCCCAGCATTCCCCTTCCTCAGGATTATTTAGCATCAATTCCCCACCGCCTCGCATCCCTGCAGAGCATCAGGCCTGGATGAAGGTGAAGGACTGGTTTGTGTTGCTCTGCTGAAGAAGCAACCAGTGGTGATGCCCCCAGGAAGGACCTGGCAGGCTCCATCATGTGACAGACAACATTTTAAGGCTGTAGCCTGCTTACAGTTTTGGGAAGAAGAGTCTTTGGCTGTCTGTTCAAGATGTCTCTTAAGGCACACTGAAGGGTGAAGCAACGATATACAGCTTCTCCAAAAGCTTTGCAGCATGCACAAAACAGGCTCATGTGGGCACCTGCCTCCCAGAGCCAGGGAAAACAGAGGAGTGACAGACAAACTGCCATGCCTGGGCACCTGCCTGCAGCCAGCAGCGTGACACCAGGGCTTTGGGCACAGCGCAGTCCACTGGCTGAGCAGAGAGGTTAGTTTCCATGCAAAACGTGGGATATCGCAAAGGCACCGCGAAGGCCGGGACATCACCTCGGCGCTGAGCTCCAGGCAGCTATCCGGCTGCTTGCGAGCACAGACGGGACTTGGCTGCCGAAGCCCCCTCCCGCAGACCCCGTGCCCCCATTCCTGATCTTCCTCTGCCCTCTAGTGGTCTCGCACCCCGAAACCAGCCCGTCCCAGCGCTCAGCAAGGGCCAACGTACGGGGCAGGTAAAGCTAAACCAGTAAAGTCTCTGTAAGGCCACTGACATTTTCAGAAGTGTCTAATCCAAAGAGGTGTCTGTGGGTTTCACGGCAATGAGAGTGAATCAATGGGAAGCAAGAATTTCTATGGAAGGCAACGGAGAAGCATATGGTTTCCTTCTCGATTGGATGAAAAGCTCAAAAGAAACTTCAGGGGGCTTTGGGGACTCCAAGTAGATAGGCAGAGAAGAGATGGATTGATGAGAGTTCGGAGAAGAAGGAAAAAAAAATGAGCCAAGCTGTCAGAAACACAACCTAGGAGGGGAAATTAAAAGACTTGGGGATGGTTAGTCTGGAGTGGAAAGACTGAGGGGAGGCATGGCAGGTGTTATTGCGTACAGAGCAAGAGAAAGGGAATAATCTGTTCTCCGAGTTCTCGGCAGATACAAAAGGGAGGGAGGCATTTAAAGAGCTGGGAGAGTCAGATGTTAGGAGAAGCTTTCAAATAAGGACAGTGCAGCACTGGAATAGGTCACCGGGAGAATGCTGCAACCTAAACTGGTTAAACAGAGATCTTTAGAAATTACATTGAAAGAGCTGATCCTACTGTGTGTCACTGGGCCAGATTAAGTGACCTCCTGAGATAACATTCATCTTATTTTCTGTGATACTATAATTAAAAGCCATATTGATCCTCCGCCATCAGAGATGCAGCAAAAGGACCAACTTCATTAGTTCCTTGCTGCTCCTTAGTGACCAGCCTGCTAGGTCCTGGACAGACACAGCTTCATGACCTGTCCTGCCCCAAAAAGCTGCTTCTCCCCAAACACAAGACCTCTAACAGACATGGTAAACAGGTGCTACGGGAAAGGATGAGACATTGCCATGCAGCACAGTTCTCAGCTCAGTTTGTACGTAACCAGCTGCAGAAACTGAACTAATTGCAGACCCTTGGGATTTGTTCATAGGAGAACGAGCGCGTTCCCTCTTCTTGTTACTGAGCATCAAGCACCTGATGAGAGAGGGATTTGGGGACAAGACAATGCAAAGATATCTAGCACAAAATGATTAGTCAGAATGTATTGTTAATAAGCTGCTTATTCATATAATTGGAAATTATTTGCAGCCAGGGTGTCAGTACAGTCTTTCTGCACTGCTCTGATGGAGCGAGGCAGGTCAGTACTGGCCCAGGGGAGCACATCTGCTGGCAGTGGGGAGGCAGAGGAATTTACTGCCATTATACTTCTTTACTGTCACTGTCTTGAAGGGCACAGGGATTTCAAGGGGAAGCAGAAGGGAATCTGCCAAGCCCCACTGACTAGGGGCATGTTTCCCAGTATGGCAAGCGCAAGGCGTCTGGGGAGCAGAGTGGAATGACAGTCCTTCTCTAGTATCCTTACAACAGCTAGGACAAGAGTAAGGCCAAGAAAGCATGGAATCAAGACCTGCCACTGCATGTGCTTCCCAAGGCAGCTATTTGAGATAGAGCCAGCTGCGGAGGAGCCAGGAGTGAGTCCACCCCAGAGCTGCGACAGCCATCACTAAAGGGAGACTTTGGTTGTGGCTATGATGCGTACATTGTGGCTTGATGATTGAACTGGAGGTTTCCACAGGTGGATTTGCTCACCTGAGGAGAGCTGGCTTTGTCCTGATGTCCAGGAGGCAGAGTTCCTCAGGGAGGCCAAGTGCAAGGAGGGGAAAAGCTACAGAAGCCATTCCTCATTCCCTCTGATAGCTCTGCCAGGCAGGTGCACAAATACAGGGATGTGGCATTGCACCACCCCACAGCTTCCTCCTTCCCTCACCTCCGCTGTGGTTGAACGCAGGTTCAGAATCAGCCACATGGAGAACAAGAGAGAGCACTCCAAGAGACTGAGAGTGAGAGCCCCTGGAAGAGCAAAGACCCCTTTTCTGGTCAGCCCTCATCTATGTACTGGGCATGACATGGAATACTTCTTTGGCCGATTCAGCCCTCAATCCTAAGTCTAAATTCAAATCCTAAGGGCAGTTGCAGACCCTTTGGCCCGGCCGTGCCTCCCCTCAGCCTGCCACGCACCTGCACACTGGCAAAACATGAGAAGCTGAAAAGTCCTTGAGGTCTCAGTGCCAACTACAAACTTCGGTGCCTTGTCAACATTCTCCTCACAGCAAATCCCAGACCAAAACCAAAACACAGAGGTCTTCTAGCTGCTAAAAAGAACTAACTCTATCCCAACCAAAACAGGACACAGCACAAAAAACAACTCTGAGGGGAAGGATCCCTCTGAAAACCTGTCTGAAAACCTCTCTGAAAGGAGAGTCTTTGGGAGGCAGCAAGGAAACAAATGTACAAGAAAGAATTGGTAATAATTATGGAACTGGGATCATCCAAATGACGGCAGTGGCATACCATTTTGGCAGTCCCCAGGAATCACTAGCACAGATTTACTATCACACATGACTGACAGAGTTTTCTGTTTCCCTACCAAACCTTTTATATGCTCCGTCTTTTGAAGCCTCCACAGAGCCAGCTCAGGCCTGTTAACTATTCCATAGAGGGGAATATAATTCCATATATATTTGTGCTCACTGTTCCTCTAGACACAAAGACTGAATAGGTATGAAAAGATCTGTCCCTGAGCACAGTACTACGCTGTAACCAAAGCTGGAGGATCTCTTCCTCTTTTGATGACCACACTTCCTGCCTGATCCCTCCCTTTCTCTCAAACACACACCCTGAACCCACCAGCCACCACAAGAATTTGGGCAAAGCTACAGGGGAGCTGGCAGAGCCAAGCAGCACGATTTCTTTGGATTTTAAAGGACTGTTCCTGACTCATGCTAAAGCAGGACAGACTAAGACCAAGGAATCCCCCAACACTACAACACAAACAACAGTTTCTACACCAGACCTTCACAAACAGTCAGCAATCTTAGGTTAAGGAAAACTGTACTTTAGTTCAAAATTGTGATTTTTAACCCACAAATATATTGGCTTTCTGTGAAAGATAAAATCTTTCACTTAATTTGTGTTATGCTTTACAGTACAGTAAAAAAATGAATTTAGAATAAGGAAAAGAGCCCATTTTCCTATTAGCAATGCAGAAGGATGCTGAGATACAACATTCGTTCTCTTCTTCCAGCAAAGAGCACTAGATACAGGAAATTTTGAAAATATGGCTAGGAGTCTGTCCTATACGGCATATCACAGCCTCTGGAACAGGGAAATGTTTGTAAGCCAGCACTGAAACAGCAGCCTTCCCTCTGCCAGTCTGGCACGTCATCCTCTCGCACGCCTTGTGACACTGTATGGGGCATGGATGGACCTGTGCCACGAGAAACACTGCGGAACTGGCTTCTGCCAACGCTCTGCTGCCTGCTCTCTTATTTCCCTACCCTTGTTCTGTCTTATTTACTGCAAGGCTTGTACTGATCAACAGGCAGACAGCACAAAAATAATGGCTATAAAAACTATACACATGACAAAAAACCATGAAACCTGGGGAAAACATTTGGATGTTTCCCAGACTCCCCTTCTCCCTAACCTTTTGTTACCTTATTGCCAGGTCACATACTCCTCAGACCAAGAAATCAACCAAGATGCTATTAAAATTTGTTACATTAGTGTCCTTTTTCTGCATTTCTGTGAAAAGAAGACAAGTTATTTTAAGGCTTACCTCAATTTGATGGCCTTTCAAATATTTTTGCAAGAGGCTTCTTTCCCCCCCCTCAAAACCACCACCTGAGTTAAGGAAGATTAAGAATTTACTCAGCAACTCTCAACTTCTTCCACAAAGTCTGAAAAAGGGAAGGACTTCTCCCTCCCAGAGGTTTTATACTAGCCCATTTGCTAACTGGCTGAGGCTGCTCAGCTGTGAACACTGATGAGCTTCTCCCAGCTCTGCTGTGATGGTGGTAACAGGAAAGGAGAGAGAAAGTGCTTATATTTGAAAATTGTGACTGCACCTAAATCCAGCAGCTTCTTCCTGTCAGAACTTGGGATGCTGTGGGAAAGTGAATTGTTAAAGGAGAGGCAGAGAGAGCAAGCAGTATGTGAGGCACACTGGACTGAGGTCCCAGCTGAAACCAAGGTCTGGATTCCACCTGTGAAGACTTTATCCCATAGTGAATTTGTCATTCATAGAAGATGTGTCATCACGGCTTTTAGCTGGGATTTATGCTGTGGTTCTTGTGTTCTGCAGTGGTCCAATACCACTCTGCTACAGAGCTGGAGAGCCTCTCAGTTGTCTGTCCCTACAATGTCCAGAACTAAAGGAAAGCCTGGTGCCGAAGGAAAGATAAAGATAAATGTGATATCTTGGTCTGCTCTGATTATCACCTCTCAGCACATCAAAGCAAGGTTCATTCTGAGAGAAGCACTGTGCTTGATGACACCCAGAAAGGGACAGTCACTGTAACAATGCAGAAGCTGCAAGTTGAAGACTTCAGAGTGTACTGGTGTGCACACCGTATCTGTTCTCAGTTTTCCCAAATAATTCAGATTAAGCTATCTGTTTTCAAGAGTATTTCTTTTTAAGGAAAACGTGGGACGTTTTGTAGATTTCTGCCTCACTTTCTCTGCTTACCTCTTCAGTGTTTCGTATGACCTTCTCCCAGGTTACTGAGGAATAGCCATAATATGTCAGACCAAAGGTCTGCAACACTGGCTGAAGAAGATAATTACAAAGGAGCATAAAAACAGAGAAGCACATAGGGACAGCTCTCCAGAATACTCTCCCAGCCTCTAGTGATTTTCTAGAGAGGATAATGTTGTTATATTGTCAATGGCTAAATTCTTTTTTCTCTTTAATTCATCTACTCATTCTGCTGCCACATAAATCTTTTGGTATATGAACATCCCGTGGCAGTGAACACCACGCTCAATGCATGGAGAATTTTCCCAGGGATCTGTGCACAGCAGAGCACAGGGCACAAGGAGACTGGCTGGAGTGGTGGAGATCGGGGATCCCAAACAGCATGGCCTGTGGGAGGGTCCATGCGGACACAGCCCTGGATGCATTGCTCCTTCTGACTTTGAGGAGACTTCCCAACAAGGGCCTGGGCAGAGGACATCTTGGGAGCCCAGAGAGAAGGGCTAGCTCAGGGCAAAGGACCTGCTCCATCTCCCATGGCTTGGGACAGCCAAAGAAGTTCCCTGCTGCCACTAGTGTGAGGGCAGAGCAGGACCATGGCCAGGCGAGAGCAGCAAAGGGCCTTTGCCAGCACAACGAGCCGAGCTCTGCTCTCAGCCACTTCCCCAAATGCACTCTGAACTTATCTTAATATCAGTCCTGTTGCAAAATATGGTGAAGAATTTCCGTGGGATGGCAAGACCTCAGGCACTTCCTCCGGTAGTGCCAGTGTGATGCAGAAGGGCTCACAAGGCAGCCGCTGTTGGACGGGGCAGGTTGGGCAGTGCCCAGCAATGCCCCTGCCCTGGGCTTGAGGACAGCTATGGAGCTGAGAGTCCTCCTCCTGCTGCCACTCTGCTTCCCAGGTAAGAGAAGGGCTGGGTATGCCTCAGGCTTCCCATGCACCCAGGGGGAGTGGGAAATCCTTCCCTGCTGCCTGCGGAGCTTCACAGTGGGGGGAATCCTGACACCGACACAACTCTGTGCTGGGCAACTTGCACCACGGATGGGGAGGGAAGGAGCAGGGAGCAGCCCCAGTTTCCCACCACCACCCATCTGGCTCCTCCAGGCTCCCAAGACAAACCACCCTGGGAATACGGAGCTGCGGCCTCCAAAGCAGCCCAGCGCCAACCCCAGCCAGCATCTCCCATCACACTGCCTGGCCTCGACGGAGCTGCCTGGGGGTACCCGTCTGTCTCCCCTGCTGTCCCAGCAGAAAGCACAAAGCTTTCAGCATGTGGTAGGCTGGGAAATCGAGGCAGTCCTGCACCCAGAACAGCCTTGCATCCCTGAGTCACTGAGCATCCTCGGAGGATGTGGCACGGAGGAGCTGCAGGCTGCTAGGGGCAAGCTCGGGCCCAGCCACGGGTTAAGCGTTTTGTCCCCAGGGCACACACTGCCCCTGCTCCTTCCCTCTGCTCTGTCCCCACATCTGGTACAGGCAGCTACCTGGCTCCCGAGGGGTGGCTGAGCCCCACCACTGCCATTCCCTGCATGGAGTGGGGTTGGTCTCCGTTTTGCCCTTGGTGAGGGGCAGTAACAACTGGGTGGGCTGCTGGGGCAGCTCCAAACACTGCGCCTCACATGGCTCCATTTAGGCTTGAAGGTCCATCACCTGTAGCACCTGCATGTCTGTGGGTTTTAAACCAAAGCTAACAGGTTTTAAATCACAGTTGCAGCCGTAGCTCAAATCTCAACACCGCCCACCAGAAATCAACCTTTCCATTTCCAAGCAGATGAATTTAGCAGAGGGAATGGATCTCGGTTTTCAGAGTTCCTCCAGCCACAAGTCCCCATGGAGAAAGGTTGGAGGCAGAGTTTGCCCATGTCCATTGGGAGGCTGTGAGCAGCCCTGCATCAGCTCCCCTCTCCCTCACCACATCTGATATTTACAGGTCTCCGTGCCCAAACAACCAACGCTGTGGAGAGACGACTGGAAGGAAGCACTCTGTCTATCCAGTGTCCCTACACAGCACAGACTAAACACCAGCATCGGAAAGCCTGGTGCCACATGAGAGATGGACAATGTGAGCCCTTAGTGGACACGACCAGCCCAACGGACAAAACCCAGGCCACAAGGCGGAAAGCTATGATAGTGGATGACCCCATGCGTAGGACCATGTCCGTCACAATGACCGACCTCCAGCCAGAGGACTCAGGCACATACTTCTGTGCTTACCGTTCCTACCAATATGTTCCAATAAAGATCATCTCACTGAATGTTTTCAAGGGTGAGTACCTTCACCACATAAATTCAAGTCTTGTCAGAAAGCAACCTCATTCCTTCCCCTGCTCCGTCTCCCCTCTCTCACACAGCTGAGCAGCATCCCCTGACCCCCACAGCCCCTCACCCTCCCCGGCCTCGCTCCCTGCCTTCCCCGCTCACACAGGTATGGTGTGAAGGAGTCCCATGGATGCGGCTTTTTTTTTTCTTGTCCTGCCCTGCCTCACCCCTGCCCTGACTGATGGGCCATCCGTGAGGGAGTTGCCCCAGGGCAGTTTGGCTCAGGTGCCAAGCTCAGGCCGGGGGGCGGATGCCGATGTGCCACCCGCTCACCGGTCAGTAACCACGTTTGCTGTTTTGCAGAGTTGCTCAAGTGGGAGTTGGACAGTCTCTCTGTGCAGTGCCCGTACGGCGCCCTGAGTCACAGCACGGGGACAATAGCCTGGTGTCAAGGAGAAAGTCAGACTGGGTGCGAATTTGTGCAAGACAGAACATTGATCCAGGACGACATCCAGAAAAGGGTTGCCACCATTACCATGCAGAAACTGCAGGCCCAGGACACCAGCATGTACCAGTGTGTGCTCTACAGCAGGTCTACTCTCACCTGGATTATGGCGGTCGAGCTCTTTGTGTTCAAGAGTGAGTACCTACTGGCAGCCAAACCCCACTGCCCCTGCTTGTTCTCCCTCCTGTCCTGCTCCACAGCACCGAGGAGCCCAGTGCTGCCACCGCACAGCTGACACCCATGTCTCCCTGTCTGTCTGTCTCTCTGGCAGACACAATGGTGGCAGCTTCCTCAGCTCAGCACTCAGCTTGCCCCTGCTTTGTGCTGTTGGAGGCCTCCCCCACTGCCAGGTATTGCTCGTGCTGTGGCCCCACAGCTGCCAGCCCTCCCTGGTCCCTGCCTCCCAAGCCCTACAGACTTAGTGCCTGCAAGCATGTGGTCCCTGGGGGAACCAAAGGAAGGGGACAAGACCCTACCCAATTTGAGACTCACCTCTTCACGAGTAATCTGGGTCCAATCCTCTGCTCCTCCTGTCTTGAGGCAGAAGGACATCCAGAGAGCATTCAGCCCACATCATGTATTCCAGTGATGGGGAAGGGGTGCCATTGTGCCTGCTTGGGATCTCACCAAACATGTCTGGTGTTTCCCAGGGACCCAACAATACACAGCCAAGGAGTCAGGCGATGTCTCTGTCCAGTGCCTGTACAGAGCCCAAGACTATGGGGCTGTAAGCAAAGCCTGGTGCAAAGAGGCAGCTGGGAATGCGTGTACTATACTGGTCACCACAAATAAGAAGCCCACAAGTTACCACAGGGCACCACAGGAAGGCAAAGTGACGATCCAGGATGACACTCAGCAGGGGATTGTCACCATCACCATGGAGAAGCTGCAGACACAGGACTCCGGTGTGTACTGGTGTGCGCTTTATGAATACGCTCATCTTTTCCGAATGGTGGAGGTTACGCTCAGTATTTCCAAGGGTGAGTACTGACCTGTAAGGAAAAGTGGTTGTTTGTAGATTCCAGACTCACTTTCCTACTCTCTCCCTCTAGTCTCTGCACTGCCCAGCTTACACCACCTCCCGGGTTACATTTGGATGTGTTTCGCTGCCCAAACCCTACCTCATTGTACCTTCTCATGCTAACCATGCTATGGAACAGCAGCAGGGATGAGAACTGAACCACACACGTGTGTGCTGTGTTGCTTCTCTTTCACCTGCGAGCAGCTTCAGTCATCTTCACAGAGGTGTTTCTGTCACTTATTCTCATGATACCAGTCCTGTCTCTTTATAGCAACTCATCACTTGGCTTTCAAAAACTATTAAGACTTTAAAATTTGGTTGCCAAGGGGACAACCTTTAGACCCATATTTGAAAGATCTGTGACTTCCAGGTTTTCTTTCAGCATGATGTTTTAAAAATGCTGATAACACTTAGGCAGACCAGCACCGTGCTGCAGCCTGTCTGTCTGCAATGTGGCAGAGCAGGGATACGGCAATCCAGAAGCCAAGAAGGGATAGCATAATCCTCTAGGAGAAAATCTTAACACACAGGACTGAATGCAGTCTCTAAGCAAGCAGGCTCCTGCACATACAACCTCACCTGGGCACAGAAATAGACCCGGAAGCAATTCTTACAGCCAAGTCCTTCACAGACGATGCTCTTGGCTTAGTTTTTGCAAACCTCTGTCTGCTGAAGCACAGAGTTGTCACACACTTCACTGCTGTCTGAAGATCTTTGCCACTGAGTACATCTGCTTGCACTCACAGCACTTCCTTCTGCCATGCCTTGGGGTGGGTACACACGGAGCGGGGCTCCTGCTGAGCATCCTGCCCTTCCCTCCCATGTTTTAATCCTGAAGTTGCTTTGCCAGCTGCCAGCCAGTCTTGATGGCACAGGTTACAGCCTGGGCAGCTTTTCCGTGCTGGGCGTCGCAGCGGGAGTGGATTTATTTCTGCGGTAGCAATGGCAGGGATGTTTCGCTGGTAAATGCAAAGCAGCCCAGTAGTGATTATTCTTCTCTTCATGTTTGTGATTGCAGCATCAGTTGGAAAAACTTTGTCAGTTCCTGCAGGCACAAGTCAAACAACCCCTTCTGGCAACACCCCAGCACCGAAGTAAGGCCTAAAGAAAGTCTCTGAGTGTGAACACAGACAAGAGTTACTAATGCCTCATCCACAATTGGCCTGTCTTCCTGGGGTAGGCAGGCTCCGGGCATTCGGAAGACTCCTGCTTACAGAGGAATTAGATATGACAGGTGTCCTTACCAAAGGTGGCCTCTCCTCTTCCAGCTCCTGCTCCGAGTGTAATTACAAAGGGAGAAGCAGATTGATGAAGTTAAGTCATAGCTTTCTGGAATGTAGATGCCTATCCACTTTTTTATCTCTAATTTTTGGGCTCTGCTCTTTGCAGCAAGAGAACCCCTCAGATTCTGCCCTAAGTCTGTCTGTCCTGACTTTGTTCACTCCTAGCCATGAAGAGTGAACAGTTATCCTCCTGTTCACCAGGCTGTTCAATGTAAAGGATTTTCTTCTTCTTTGGACATCTGCTGTCATGAACACTACAGCAGCATCTAACAGTACAATCATATATCAGCTCTCAGTGCGCCAGGTGCAGGAAAACACGGGAGGAAAAGGCAGTACCTGCTCCAGAGAGCCTGGAATTTGCTCTGAACTTTGAACAGTGGCTTGTTTTGAAAGCCTGGAGAGTTGTTTAGGAAAAGCTCAGAAGGCACAGCCACATAGAAAAATCAAGATAGCATTGCTACAGGAGAAGCAGGCCCTCCTTCCAAGTGCATGAAAGTGAGAGCATAAAAGCTATTCCTGTCCCTTTTTTGGGTCACTCTTTGGTAATGGGCTGGGCCAGCATCATGCTGTGCTGCCATCTCACACTGGTAACTCCTTTGCTCCCCTAGCTTCTGCTCAAATGTAAAAACCTTCATCCTGCTCTCTGTGGTCCTGGGCATCCTGTTCATCCTGGCACTCATCAGCTCGACAGCCCTGTATGTCAGGCAGTGCAAGCAGCTGAAGAGAAAAGGTATGTGGAGACTGGTGATGCCTCAAGTTCTAGACTCTACTAGACAGGGCCTTCTCTGCCCATTACTTTTCCACTCCAGGTGAGCTTATTCCCAACTCACAGTGCCCTGGAGATAAGGCAGGTGCACCCTGGGAAGCCTCAAGGCAGGGTCCTTGCTGTGATCTCCTCTCACAATAAGTCAAACCCATGTTCCTCCAGACTGCACAGGACAGCTCCTAGCATGTTAGAGAAGTGAGAGCAACGTGTTCACCAGATTCAGGGTAGATAGGTCCCACTAGCACACCCATCACTTCTATCACTGGGCAATCCCACAGCCTTCCCCAGAACTCCTGAAGCATATGCAATACCCAGACATTTCATGGAGTTCTGTACTGCTAAAATCTCAAATTTTGACTCATTCAAAGGTACCAGACAAGCAGAGCACACCTATGACAAACCAGAGGACACCTATGACAGACCTGAGGACACCTATGACAGACCTGAGGACATAGCACAGGTAAAGAAAACAAGAGTTTTCCCATACAGTACCTGGATCCCTTACCAACAGTGTGCGAGGAGCTAGCTGACCCATGTGATGAGGACCTTGGTGCTCACTTTTGTTTGTGAGCAGGAGGGGAAATGGTATTTAATGTCACTAGAAGAGGAATGTTCCTAGGTGGAGGGGGGGTGGGTAATTAATGTAAGGTAACTCCAGTAGGAAAAAAAACCACATTGGAGCAAATTCTAGTAATATCTGAGAAATTACTCAAGAACTAGAATCCAAGATTAGACCATGAGATTGTAACCTCTACCAAGGAGAGGTGACGAAGGTAAGTTTTGTGTTCTTCCACCTCTGTCATGACCGAAGCTAAGTTTTTACATGGCTTCACCTTTCCTCCTGGGAAAAATCTTATTCTTTTGATAAGAGCTGTGGCCCAGCACTGAATCACACTAACAAGTGTGTTCCCTTTCTTTTCACAGCTTGACAGCACTGAAAGAATGGAAAGGCCTAAGGATGACAGCAGAGACCTAAAATATGTTACCCTGAACTTTAAATCCCAACTCATCCCTGAGGATCCTCTCTACTGCAATGTTGAACCAAGTCAGACTCACAGGAAACCCAAAGATGAAAATGTGGAATATGCTATCATTCAATTCAAGCAGTTACCGACGAATGTCAAAGGATGAAGCACAGAATCCCAAAACAACCCAGAAATGGGAGAAAAGAACTGGAATACAAAGTGGGAATGGGAAGTAGAAGGTGTGTGGGTTGACACTGGGAAAAAAAATAAGTTTTTGCTGCCATGTGTATGTTGCCTATGCATTTTAAGACCTCCCTCCTGTTAGAGGCCAGTAGATAATTTTGCCACAAATGTGTGGATTGTCTCGAGTCAGACAAAAGGTGCTGGGTAATTCTGAGGATCCCTTGCACATCTGCTTTCTTCAATTCCATTAAATTCAGACTCTTTTGGAGGGGCAGGTGTGGAGCAATATTCATCTGGACATGGATGGATTTGGTATTTCAGCTATGTTCACTGGTAAAAACTCTATCCCACCCCTACGGGTTCAGCTACTATGGCCAAGCAAACAAACCCTGTGACCAGGTTCATTTGCCATGTAATGGGCGGGGGATATGAGCACTGGATTGTAGGAATAAGCAGAACCAGCATCTGCCTAAACGTTTAGCTTTAGATGAAGAAATAGAGAGTGTGCGGTGGAGTTTGGGGGTAGGAGGGGATGAAGGTGATGTCACTTCTGAGTGCAGGTACCAGTGTCCCTTTATGGAGTGCGGAGGGTTGTGGGATGGATTCAGTGCAGCTGCTGTGGATTGCACTGCTGAAAGCCTCCGACACTGTACCCTTTAGACAACTCAATTATTTCCAAGCTTGAGGGCTGAATTTGCTCTCGGTGTCAGCCACAGCCACAGCACATTTTTGCAGTCTTTGAGGCCTGCACATTGAAAACAGAATGAAGCAGCAGTTGAAATCTGAAGTTCCAGGCATGGCTTCCCATGTGTAGCTTGTGCAGACTGCCCCATCCTTTCACTGCCTCCTAATGAAAGGCCCTTACTTTGTTCAACAACCTCTGGCTAGGCTGCTGTCTTACACCTTCTGTTGCCCAAGAACACGTAAACTGGCTGCTTAAACCAAGGTAGTGTGGAATCAAGACAAGCAAGGAGAACCAAAACGAGGTATTTATGGAGAAAGGAGGGAAGAGAACGATACGTGATACTGCGCTAGAGGAGTGGATAGGGCACTGCGACGTTTCTGAACAGAATTTGCCTCACTGTGCCAACTGCAAGGAGGAGCCTGAGACAGACATGAGGAAGGTCAGTACAGACAGTAACACAGAGCAAGAAACTGGTAGGCTGTGGGAAGAAGTTGCAGTAAGTATGGCACAGACAACAGAGGAAGAAGTATGAGCATAAGAGGGCTGCTTTCAATATCAGGTGACATAAAAGAAGGGACATGATAGCAATTAAGAGTGGATTATTTACAGATGTAAATGTCCAAGTGAGTCAGACACACAATATATTTATGGATCTCCAGTGCAGCTCTGATGCAGGTTGGCAATTTCTAAGAGCTGCCACAGGAACACCAGACTGGCTGGGACCTCATCAAACCCTGCTATCCTGAATAATCACACCATAATGCACTTGGTCTCTTGCCTTCATTGTTACAAGGCATCTTTGCATCTCGTCAGGAATCACTATCCGGTCAGTCTCAGATGTAGCTCTGTTCTTTTCTAGCACTATGCTGCACTTTAAACAGCTCTTCCCAGCCTACTCACCAGTGCAGCTGGTTCTTTGGAAGTTCTTTGGAAGACCAACACAAACTAACATGCCTACTTCCAGCACTTTTTTTTTTTCTTGTCTATACCATAGAAAGCAAACTTTTGTGGCTTCTTCTAAAGACACAGGAGACCAGAAATACATGTGAGACCTCACCAGGGCTTTGGAAAGTGATACCATTACTTCCCTCTCTCTGCTGGAAGTACTCCAAATTACGCATTTTCTGCCTTTATTTAGCAGTCATGTGGTGACCAATATGAAATGAGTTTGCAGGGGCTCAGCTTGATTTCTCCAAAACACCAGAAACCCTGGCACTTTATTTGGCAGCACCAAGCTCTGCAGACAGGTGGCAAATTAAAGGGGCCTGAACCACTCCCTTTTCACAAGCCAGTCACATCCAACAGGCTTCTCTTGCCATGGCTGCAGCAGGGAAGCTGATTTATTTTTTGAGATTTTCAGACTTGACATGTTTAGCTTGAAATGACAGAAAGAAAAAGAAAATGGTACTGGAAATGGTTCATTCCACCCAAGATTCCCCTAACTATCTGCTATTCATGCAGTCAGTTACACTGGGACAAACAGTGGAAGAGTAATAGTAGAAAACAACTGAGTTCAAGAGAGACATTTTCAGGGAGACAGTTGCTTATGATCAAAGAGAATCCAGATTTGTGCTCGCTAGAGCAAGAATGAACAAAAACTGGAGGCAGTAAACCTCCCAGAGAGTTTTTGGATACTGTAAGGCACTATTTTTTTAAAACACTAATTAGAGGAAAGAAAAAGAAGGCACATTTATGGATGGGTAGGCTGGCAGGTTTATCTGCCTGTTAAGAAGCAGATAAGCACACAAGTTTAGAAGCTAGGGTCTACTGGAACTTGCATGGAACCTCCAAGTAAATAAATTTGAAAAAGAAAAAAATAGTAACCCATCCACAGCACACCAGTTTGAGGCTCCCTTAACTGCAGTCCTGAACCACTGCAACAGCATGGCACTGACGGGCTCTAATCAATGCCCCCACCCTTGACCTTATGTCCTTCCTGCTAGGTACAAAATAAAGACCTCTGGTTTGCTTATCTAAAGCATCTCACAGCTTCACCCAGCGCAGTGTTCTTGTCTCACCATCTTTGGTTATATGTCAAATAGAAATACTTCACATGCAGGCTCTTGTAAAATTTTTCTCTTCTGAAAATAACTCGTATGATTACATCCTTGCCCTCCTTTCAGCCTCGTGATGCAGACTGAGCGACCTGCAGAGCCTCGATGAGAGCTGCCCTTTCCCTTTCAGCTTTCCAGAAATTCACTCCATGCCAAGCTTGCGCGTAAAGCCCGCTCTGGTGGAGAGGCACCACTGCTGAGCCCAGAGCGACTCCCAGTACCGTGGTTTCAGGCCATCACATGATGCTCTCTTTCAGGCTGTCTAGACTGAATCGTGGCTGTCAGTATGCAATGCTGATGCCTGCATCAGCCCACGAGAGACATGGCCATCCCTGGTGAATTGCTCAATATGCAGGAGGAAAAAGATGCCAAGTTCCTGTGCTCATTCCTTCCGGCAGAGCAAGGAGGGGGGAAAAGCAAGCTGCTCTTGGGCAAGAGCCCTTTTCACTTTTCTCTAGACTCTTCTCTTGTACTCTTTGCTGCTCGACTGACATGGAGAAGCTCATGCACCTCATCTTCTTGATCTTCTTGTCAGGTAAGAAAGCATACGTGGCTTTGGGTTTCAGTTATCAGATAGGGTAAAGGATGGGTGCAAAATGTAGTGTCTGTCTGCACCTGGTCTGAGATCATGGCTGATGCTACGGGAAAAGACTGCACAGGTCTTGAAACACAGCAGCTTTTTCTGGATGCAAAGGCATCTTCATTGTAGCACGCAGTTCTTCGGACGGCCATATGGATGAAAAGCCTCACTGCCTGGCTGTACGCTGCAAGGGCCAACACAATGCAAGCAGAAGGGACCTGGAGCACTGCAGTGTGTTCTGCCCTCTGCTCTTCCTCCTCAGTTATATTGCAGGGATGTCAGACCCCTTCCTCAATTTGTTCTTTTCTCTTAATTTAACAAAGGGCCAGCAGTGATCCAAGTGCTCAGCTTTTCTCGCAGGGATCCTTTTGAGTCAGAACAGGAAACACTGTTGACAGGAGTCTTGTGTGCCGTCTCAGAATGAAATGTGAAATTGCAAAATCCTATTTGTTTGCATTTGTAGGGCTTTGGATGTAAATTGCAGCATCTGGTGGGGAGGTAGGGGAAGGGCTCTTTACATTAGTGATGGGTGATAGAACAAGAGGAAATGGGCATAAGCTTAGTCAGGGGAGATTCAGGTTGGATGTTAGGAAGTATTTCTTCTCTGAAAGGGTTGTCAGCCACTGGAATAAGCTGCCCAGGGAGGTGGTTGAGTCCCCATCCCTGGATGTGTTTAAGAATAGGGTGGATGAGCTACTTGAGGATATGGTTTAATGGGGATTAGGGATGGTTGGACTCGATGATCTCTAAGGTCTTTTCCAACCTAGAAATCTATGAATCTATGAATCTATGAATCTAGGGTTCAAGAGGAGGAATATAAAACTCAATGAAGGGGTCATCTCTGAAATCTTGGGCACTTGCTTATTTTCAGCTTGGAAAGCAACATTCATCTGAGATGAGAAACAAGGCACAGGACCCAGCTGGTACTCCCAGCTGGCAGCCTTCTCTCTCCATCCACGCTTTGGAGATCCGACACTTGCAGCAGGGCACAGAAAGGCAAGAGTTTCAGACTTTGGAAGCACAGAAACCTGCCCCAAAAATCTGAATAAGTTTGAAAAAAAGTCCGCTACATTTTTTTTCAGTAGCACACAACAAGGGAGGAGGAACACAAATAGTAAGCGATCTGTCAGCAGAAATGGTTGAAAAGATAATGACACAAACTTTTCCACAGGGGTTTAGCAAATCTTTAAATGCCATGATTCTGATCAAGAGATTTTTTGCAATGCTGTTTCTATTTAAAACAAAACCAAAAAACAAAACCCTGGGTCCATTTCAGGAACCGAAGGGGCAGAACTGGAGGTGAGGAGGGGTCCACAGAGGAATAGGAGAGGAAATTAAAACATTTAGTGGGATTGCACAGGACTGGGCTGGACATGCAGTGAAGTGGGCCTTGACTGGAACAACTGAGTGGAGCAACATATCAGGATGAAGACTTGTAGGTGTTGGATACTTGTAAAGCACAGATCCATTTTTATGCTGCCTTCTAGTCAAGCCTGAAAGATCTTCAGATTTTTCAGTTTATAATTCACTTACAATGGCTGAAATTATTTTCAGAAGTGTTACTAAAAGGCTCAGCGAGTACAAAGCCCTCACAAAAGCCTATTTTTATATTTACTTCTGTTTTATCATTACTTATGGTTTCACAGAAGGTACTAGCCTCTTGAGTTTTTCCACTAGAAATATATAGAATTCCACAAATACCACACTGCACTTCTCTCTAGAAGTACTAATAGCTCAGACAGTCCCTTCTGCCGTTGCTTACCGTAAAGAGGAATGGAAATTAGAAATAAGGAACTAAGCCAAAAAAAATTAAAAAAAAAGGCAAGCAGACAAAGACCAGTTGCCAACATGATTAAAATTAGTAAGATACCAAAAGACAAGGTGAAAAAAATTGCTAAGACCCTGGACTTCGAAATTAGGAGTGGGATTAAGAAGTAACTTCCTCAACAGCTAGCTGGACACTGGTTTGTAGGTGTCACTGTGATTCTAGCATCTTCCAGGGCTGTGTTGCTTCTCTCTGGCAGTATAAAGAGCCTTAAAATGGGGGTAAACTTCATGGGCATTTACTGCAAAGGACCTTTTCCGCAGCGGAGGGTACTCCAGAGCCCAACCTGCATCTATGAACACACGTGGAAGGGCTGAGCTCAAAGCCAAAGCCTGAAGTGAGCTGCCTTGCTGCAGCTGTATGCAAGCAAGCAGCTGGACCTTGCAAAGCAGGGGTGTTGGAGCAAGGCTCGTCTAACGAGAGTTACACGGGACCAATTTGTCATTATTGGGTCAAGCTATGTTTTTTATGAGCTGCCTTGTAAAAAGAGCTTTTAAAAATCAAGACAGTTTGCCTGATGCCAGCTCAACCTACCTGAATGCCCAGCTTCATGCCCCTCAGGAACAGAGGAAAATGAAAGTTTTTATTTAATTCCCTAATCATGCTGACAAGCTGCTTCCCCTTACTGGGCAAGAGCTCAACGATTAGGCTGTGATGTGGTTGAGCTCCAGGCTGCAATCCAGAGCAGTCACCACAGGGCCAGAAGGGAAGGCAAGGATCAAAATGTCCTGAGCTTCAGAAAATCTGCAAATATTAATGAAGCTGATACCTTCTCCTTCCCTCAGTCCCCTAGGCAAGAATAGCTGCCTGGCAAGAGCCAAATAACACACCAGTCAGAGGGATGACTACAGACATATTTCAAGCAAGTCTGAACCAAGCCTCTGAATCTGAGCACACTGAATCTTTCATGGGGGAAGCAGAGATGTGACAGCCCTGCGGTTGACAGCAGCCGTCACTAGAGCTGTAAAAGAGGAAAATGATGTTTAGCATAAACATAGTGGTAAGGAATAGATATGTAAGGGACTTGGCTCACCAGTTTCTCCTCCTCTCCTAGCATCCTGTGCTGCAGAGAACATCACTGTGGTGTACGGAATGGAAGGGGGCACCATTTCTGTCAACTGCACCTATAACCCCTGGCAGCAGCGGTGGAGAGAAAAGAGCTGGTGCAAGCAGATTGATGAGACCAGATGCCAACATGTGGTGAGCGCTGCCGTTCCTAAAGAACAGGAACGGCACCACCTCCATCAGTGACAATGTCCATGAAGGGGTCCTGACAGTGACCATGAAGAGACTCAAGAAGCAGGATGCTGGGTTGTACCAGTGCAAAACTGACTACCTGGGGGAAACAAATAGCTTAAGGAAGGTGCAAGTGGAAGTGCTGACAGGTACGTCCTGGGGCTCTGGGTTTCATGAGTTCATGAGTTCCTACTTGAATTTCATGTGTGTCTGCAGATGCCAAGGCCTCACTTCAGTAAACATCTACTTTTGTCTTACTCGAAGGAGGTACTGTGTTTCATTGCCTCTTTTTAGTTCCTGATTTTCAGCAACATGACCTCACTGTTACAAGACATCTAACACGTCATCCCCTTATTGCTACCCAGATTATCTTCTAGCACACAGCCCAGTGCCCAATCTCACCTTGGTTATCTACACCCAGCTGTGGCGCTGGTCTTGGTGACACCGATGAATATCACCCAGAAACATCTGCAGACTAAACTGTCCTGTTTCTATCATCAGCTGTCTTGGAGACCCAAATGCCAGAGGAGCCTAGAGCTGTGCAGAGCATCTCCAGGTAAGCCATAAAACTCCTCATGCTGTGTTCTTTAGTCTTTCTAGGACTAAGGTCAATTAGCACTGGCAACCCTGTTTGAAGCTGAGAGGAACACCACCACAGGCATATTCTCTACCTCTTCCTAATCTACGACAGTTCTCAGAGCTGCTGTGTGGTTTCTAAACAGCAGCAGCTTTATCTTAATCCAGAAAATGTAGTGTTTCAGTGCCAAGCAAAACAATTCCTGCAGATCATAATTTATCCGTATGGGAGATAACCTATTACAGTTGTTCTAACCTCTCAGGCTGTGTTGTGCACAGGCAGGGATTGTCTGTTGCAGGAGATGTTACCATCTTCACATTGTATACTACAAGAGTTTCTTTAAAGGTTGAACCATCCTCTTCATTGTTGTGTTTATGGTTCCCCACAGCATCCCTCCTGAAGCTAATTTCACTGTCTTCTATATCATTGCTGGATTCCTGGTTACTAAGTTCGTGGTGGCTGTGCTCATCTTTATCATTGGCAACAGCAGGAAGAACAGAGAAACAGAGCACAAGAACCCAAGCTTGAATGTGCAGCAGGTCCTCCCTTTTGCTGGTGACCCTGCACATGATGGAATCATGTGGGAGATTGATCCATCCTGGGAGAGCACTGCTTAGAGCCAAACCAAAGGGTATCCGCAGAGAAATGAACATCAAACATTTGCAGGCAAAGCTTTGCCACCTGCCATAAAAACAGGATTGTCTACTAACATAGGTATCGATGAACCTATCACTCTAGAAAGGGAATGTCACCATCTACCACCTCTTCTCATTGGCACTGACCAGCTTTTTCCAACACAACTGAACTGAAAAGATGCTGCCAGTAACACCTGAACCTAGTGCAAGAGGATGGGATCGACGGCCAGGGGATAGGACAAGCATGAAGTCTTTCTGTCAAGAGATCCAGCAGACTTATCTACGTGGAGAGATGCCTCCTCAGGCATGGTGAATGTGAAAGAGGTCTGCTCAGTTTACCCCCAGCTCATTGCTAGGCCATAAGAAAATTTGCTGCTCTATACAGCTACTGGCAAATGGTTCGTTATAAATAAACCTATAGATACACCAGTGAACACAAACAGACGTTCAGGTCACACATCTCAACGACCACGTGCTAAGCAATTCACAAACACATCCACTTAATGGAAAAATGGAAAGACATGGTTCTGTCTCAAATCTCCAAGAAACTTCTGATTCAAGATCAATGTTAAAGAACTAATAGCTTTTCTCAAGGTATTGTACATGTCTTCTACAAAATGCTCAAATGCTTCCCCCAAAAGCAGGAAGTATAACTGGAACCAGATGGTTTGTATGAAAGCTAATATTAGCATTTGTCTAGAAATCAGCTTTTTAACTGAGATTCCATTCTCTAAAGACTGAAGCTTTCGACACAGTTTTGGCAAAGTAATGCTCTGCTATCATCTCCAGTCACTGCCAGTAGCTGCACCACGCCACCACACAGTTATTCCAGACACTCATTCCCAGTATCATTCCACCTGGGTCTGAACTGAGACCCATCAACTTGTCATCTCAGAGCATTGCCAAGTGATTCTGTCTGCCAAGCGATGAAGACTGGCTCCCAAAGATTGCCTTGGACAGGGTGGATCCTTGGAGAAGTCACTGTGGAAAGGCATAAGGAACTGCAGAACATAACAGAAAGGGATGTGAAGTCTACGCAGAGCTCTGAGCCTGCTTCTGCATTTCTCAAATGATTTTGCAAACAAAGAACAGACTGTTTATCTGTATTTCTCCCTGTATTTTTTCTGCCTTCTCAAGGGGATGTTACCAACATGTGATCATTGTTCATCACTCCCCAAAGTGAAGCTGCGTTTAACTCTCCCAGGAAGACCCCAAAGCCAAGGGCATTCACACTTCTTTTCCCTGCACTGCCTGCAAAGCTAAATAAAATCCAACTGATTATCTGACTTAGTGTGGACTCATGATAAAGAGCTGCGATACACCAGATCACAATACATCCCCTAGAGAAGAAGTAACACTTAGAACACGCTGGTGTGTTTACAATGTACAGAAATAATCTGAGCCAGCTGGGGAGATTTGCACATCCAGCCAGATCCATTTAGCTCCATGCAGAAACAGCAGCTCAGATCCCAAAACCAGATCAGGCAGTGCATGGTTGTGCTTTGCCCAAACTAACTTCCTCTGTTTCCAGAGGGTGAATTAGCCCATGCACAGTCACACACCACTGCAGCTAGCACAAACAAAGCTCCGGACAGTACTGTGGTGCCCAGCTAGACAAGCTATAAAACAAGGGAATTGCAGCTCTGACCAGGAGATCTGGGCCCTAGTTCCAGCTCCAGCCTGTTGAGAGCCCTCTGGCAGGGCCATCCTCTGCCTCTGTGATGCCAGGGGACACAGTGCTGGTTCTCCATCGCTGTATACGGGCTTTGGCAACCAGGGATAAAAAACCTGGGTGTAAGTGCAAAGTAGAATCAAGGAAGAATGCATCCAACTGACAGCTGCTCTGTAGTGTGTCAAGGTGGCGTTAGGGATTGAAAATGCCCATGTCATTTGCAGCCACACAGCCTGACTGCTAACTATGGCTGTCTGGACAACAGTATATTTAAAGCAAAAGAGCAGCCAGACAACATTATGCAGCCTTCCTACCCAAGAAGTAATAGTAAGATTGTGGTTAAAAGATACTCTCAGCAATTCCAAACTGGCACTGTCACTCTAGGCAGCAGACGACTGCAAGTGACAGAGCAAGTTAGCTTCCTCTGCAACAGAGAATTTCTCAGTAATGAAGAAACTCTGCTACGTGTTTTTTTCCCTTTATGCCCTAAACCCCTTTCTGCTTCAGGATGGGGGTTGTCCAGCCCTGCTGCTCTTGCTGGCTCTACCAGGTAAGGCTCAGAGACTCTTCCCTTCTCCTAGGAACAGGATGCTCGCTGTGGTGTTGCATGCATTGCACGCTGTTGCTTGCTTGAGCACTTTATATTCAGGGCATCTATGGCCAGACACAGACCGAGATTCCCAGAAGTCAATGAGGGGAGGAAACGTTCACCCTGAAATTTGCTGATTTTAATTATACAAGCTTTTGGGTACTCATTTTCATTTATAGTAGTTCTGTATTTTGTCCAGAAACTGAACTTCATGGTGGGACATTTGGGATTCTTTGCCCTTTCTCTCCCACTATTGCAAAGTTCTCAGTCTGAAATCATCTAGCATATGAGGAGAAAAGTCTGTGTTTGTTGCTTTCTCCTGATACGTCGTGGATCAGGTATTGTCATAGACAGGCTAGCTGCTGTTTGCTTTTTTATTGCAAATAAATACTACATCCACAGAGAGGAACAATAGGAATAAAACCAGGAAAAGTGTAGTGGCACTGATGCCGTGCATAGATGTTTATTTAGGCAAACCTGCAGAGTTAAAGTACTCTTCTCAGAGGCCCAGCATGAGAGTCACAGTGAGGTTAACAGTGCACCAGGTGGGAGACAGCCAAAATAAATAAAAAATGATGTGTCACTTCCATTTTTGTTTCACAGCAAAACACGGTGTATCTAGACACAGAGATCCCACTAGAGGTTATCAAGGACAGGGTAAAACTCTGTTACACAGCTCCATATAGAACCACAACATGTACCTCTATGTATCTAGAGGCAGAAGTGGCCAGTAAATTATTTTTGTCATATGAAATCAAAATGTTTCAAAGGAAAAAAAAAAGAAAAGAATCAATATTTTACGGATTACCATCAAAAACCATGGATACAATTCTGTAGGATTGTATTAATCAAAACCAAATGGGTTTGGGACAGAAATATTTCAAGTAAGTTGATGAAAAATGAAGAATAAAAACCAATACTTGCTTTTGCACAAAATTTTCCATTCTGTTAGAAGTGTTTTACAGTCATGGAAAAGCTTTGATAACTCACGTAGAAGACTCATGAGATGGAGCAACACCATCTTAAACTTGAACGAGGCATAAGAAATATGCTGAGGTGGCTCCATGTCCCAGCAGCTGGGGAATTGGACAGCAATAACAGCCCTGTTCAGAAAGGGCAGCAGTAATCCAAATTTCTCATCTCCAACCCAACCTCATCTCCAGTGACCACTCTCCTCAGACTGGGGCTGGGTAGTTCCTTGTCTTCTGCAAGTTCTCTTCGTGCTGATGTTAGCCCTGCTGCTTTGTTGGGTGAGATGTACACCACCATGGCGATTGTTTTTTCCTGTCTTTTCTCCCTCTAATGAATCACCACTCTATTTTTTTTTTTAGAACTTGTAAGGCTATTTGCAAAAAAAAAGAAAGAAAAAGGAACTCTCTGTCCCTCCATTGCTCTTATTCTGTGATAGCCAAATAGGGAAACTTCAACATTTTTTTGCAACCATGCAAAATGGTGTCCCGAATTAGATGTCAACCTATTATCAGAGGTAACTGATCCAAGTACTGTTAAAGTAGGAAGGACTGAAATGATGAATGACTTCTCATGGAAAATGATAAGAGTGTGGCTGAAAAAGCTCCGACTTAATGACTTAGGAGAATACCATCTTGAGAGCCATTGCCAGGAGAGAAACAAACTACTGAATAGGATCATACTGGAAGTTTTGGGTGAGTTAATCAAAGAATTAATGATCTTCTAAAAGTCAGCAATTTCTTAGCACTTGACAAGAAAGATTACAGGTCATTGTTAAAAAGCTCTCTTCTGAGCCTGGAAATTTCCTGAGACACAGATAATTCCTGAATTTCTGTTTTTCAAACAGATTTTTGATACATATTAATGGTATAAACAAATAGCAGCCAACTGGTGGGGGGAGTCTGGCTTGGCTTCATTGACTAAAGGAATTTTACATTTACATCAGCAGATGAAGCAGACTCCAAGCATTCTGAATCTTTGCCTGAATTTCTACCTGAGTTCATCTATTCGACACTGCTCATTTAAAAACTTCTGTGTTTGTTTTAACACTTTACTTCCTTTTCTGCTTTTAGCCAGTGCAGGAGGCAGGAAACCAGCAGCTACTTAGTGGAGGCTGTTCTTCGATTTTTCTGATGTAACTGAAAAATCTGTGTGTGGAGGGGAATCACACCACGCATCTTGTTTCTACGATGCTTCCCTTCGGACAGCATTCAAGTGCCCAAATAAGCAACTCAGTGTTCCTATCATTCTCTACAATGGTAAGAATTTTCATGGCTGGCCTATACTTTCTACAAAACTTGTGTCTTGCAGGAGCTCTCCTTTCCCTCTGGTCTCTCACGGAACCCAAACTTGTAAGGAAAGCACAAACAGAATCTCCTTTGTCCCTCTGCACATGATATAATCATCGAATAACGATGTTTTCCAAGGCGTCATGCAATCAACTGTCTAATATTTTGCAAGAATGAAAAAACACCAGAGGACCACAATCTAAAGGGAAGAAAAGTGGACTCAGTACATCTGTTCTTGTCCCACCTGCCACTTACTACTAGCTCTCTGGCTGGGCCTACACTTGATGTTTTTATTTAGATACACTGATAACAGGTATTGTCCAACAACCTAAACAAAACTCCCCGCTCTTACCTGAGGATCCCATTCCTGTCATTCATCTGCATTAACTAACCTTCTTCTACCAGTAAATAGCATAGGATGAATTTTCTTGTTCAACTTCACAATTCCATAGCTAACAAGCAAGCAGTGACTCTGGACCATTCTACAAACCTGCAAAGCAGGATTTTTTAGCATAAGAAAAGTCACCAGGGATGGACTGATGGAAAATCACCTACTCTTGTGTTTTTTTCAAGGGAAAAATTGAAATCAGGGTGCAGATTTAGACACCCTTTCATTTCCCACTAAGAAGGGGGATGTTGTCAACCCCACAGATGACAGCAGTAAGGATCAGAGGTAAAAACCAAAGACTCTCAGATTCTAACTACAGCATACTGGATGCACTGCAGGATTTGAGGAGTGGTGTGACAAACAACTGAAGCATGTGCATGCACATGCACATACACACAAAGAGGCTTCCCCTTCTCCCCTGTAGAGTTTGGTCCAACCTCCCCAAGTCCCATGAAAAGCTGTAGAAGGTTTCAGGAGCACTAGGTGAGGCCTCTACTGAAGATGCTCAGTTTGACTGTGTTCATCCTTTCTACCTGGTTAAAACAGGACAAATATACAGCCCATGCAATGCTACAATGAATGACTCTGCCTTTTGTACAAGGAGACCAGCCTAAGACCAATCCCAGCTAAACAACACAGCATGTCAGATGAGAGTTATTACCAGGCCTGATCAAAGGTGATCCTGATCAAAGACAGACCCTGAGAAAGGCTACTGCATCCTGATGAAGGATGCCTTTGAACTCTGGTAGCACTGCAAATGACTGCAGGAAGAGAATTCAAGCTCCTGAGTATTCCCCAGGCTTGCCAACTGCCAAAGAAAATACAGCTGGCATGGATCCTCTGTGGCTGTAGATCAGTACTGACCTCATGGAACCACACTTGTTTAGAGACAGCAGGGGCCATATTTGCATGCTGAATTTTTATGCCGGAACCATAATCCATTTTCAAACACACAAAATCCCCTCCCAAATTAACCTAGTCACCTCTGGTGCTGTAAATTGTAATGGAGAGATCATGCTTTCCCCTGCAGGACTCTCTATGCTCTCATGGTGCTGAGTTCCTTCCTGCCTACAACTGCTCTTGCTCTGATTGCTACTGTTATACTCCTCGTCACCACTTACATCAGAAGGAAAAGGGCAGGTAAAGCTCCCTAATCTTCTTGTCTAGTTTTCCTGCCCCTACAGCTTGTTGTCCCACTGCCCTGAATGTAAGGAAGGTCTGTTCATAGCAATCATTGTCCAGGGAGGCAATGAGACTGAGCTGAGAGTCAAATGCAAGATGTGAGTTAAACCACAGGGAAGGGATAGTGGGAGCAGTGATTTTTAAAATGAAAAGGTAAAGGTGTGGTTTTACACTCAAAGCAGATTCTGTCCTTCATGGCAGAGAAAGGGACAGACTCCGGCAGACATCCTTCTTTCAGCCAAGCAGCACTGCAGGTAAGACATCATCAGAATTCCCACATTTGTTTGATTTCTGTCGTGTAGAGACACTGGCTCTGCGCTCACCACTCACGAGGGTCACAAAGCACACAGCACCATGCATCCTGCCGTGGCTGTGAGCATCCACTCGAGCCTGCAGGCTAAAGCTGTATTTGTTGATTGTCAAAATCAAAGCAGACACAACCCAACTCCCTTCTTTGAGTAAGTCATAGTCCTTCTGCATGTTTTTGTTTATAGTACTCAGAAGAATAAATGTAATAACAAATATATAAGTTTAATAATTAACTGGCCTTGAAGCTTCAGTAACATCACCAAAGGCTCTCATCAAAGGAAAACTTTGCTAGTTGCAATTGCCCTAAATGTTTAGTGTGTTAACTGTTGTTACACCTTTCTACCTATTTATTTAAATCTGAGGAAGTAGAGTTTTGTGTAAGAGAAATTTTCTAACTTCTCTGAGCACACATTCCTTCTTCCCATACATTCCCTCCCCTTTTCCCCAGTTTCATGATACAAGGAGAAAATATTTGTGGTTGTAGATGAACTAAGACTAACATTCAGAAGCAAAAAAATCTGAATTTCTTTTTAATTTCTCATTCTTCGTGGTTTCTCAGAAGGATGGAAGACACAAAGCAAACAGAATGCCAGATGAAGTGAATTAAAGTACCATATATGCTGTCGTAAGGCACCAACCTCAGACGAAGCCTGAAGATGTTACATATGTCAACATACAGCTTTCACCAGAAGTTTTCTTCCACGCTCAAGAATCACCAGGCAATTCAGCTTCCTCATGGTCTGTGGAATATGCTACTGTTATCTTCAGACCCACAACTCCACATTCTGGAACCAAAAAGAGAAAAACAGGTCCACTTAAAGCAGCAAAAAGCTTTGGGCTTATCCACAGGATTTGGCTGAACTCTGCTTAGAAACAATCTGTTTGTAACCAGTTGCTGAAGCTGGATATATACTGGGTGTGAGGTGGAGGGCAACTGGAAGGATGAGGCACATGAATTCACAAACCTTTCCTGAAAAAATAACTGCACTTTTCTAATAGTACAGCATCACAATTCAGCTATTGGTAAGCAAACCTAGTGGAAAGTTATGGTATATTTGCTTTTTCTAAATTGTTCTATTTTTAAACAACAGGCAACTAAAAGCCCAAATACAGGAAACTGGTTCTCTCTGGTAGCAGCTGATACGGCGCTGCAGTCAACACAGGGCTGTGAGATATGGGAATACAATGCTTCCTTTCAGACTTGCAACTTCAACTGCTCACTCAAATATTCATATCTAAAATTGGAATTATTGCCCACTCTGATAAGATCCAAGTCAGCAAAGTGGTAAAGAATCTATTCTAAACATAGAAGTTGTTTCATGGACTTCAGAAAGACAGGTAATGCACTTGACATCTTTTAGTAAAGAAGGGTTTTGTTGAAAAATATTGGTCTATGTTGTGGTATGAAATGTCTTCAGCTTGAACACCAGTGCAGAATTTACACCTCAAGTTATTTATTTATTTATTTATCAAGAGAAATAACTTTGTGTTTCCTTGTCTTCGGTGCTTGTTGTTTATAAACGCCACACTCATGCTACAGTATAAATCTAGCTTGTCTTTATTATAAATTACACACATTTTGATCAAACTACTGAATCCTGTTATCACAGTGATATGTGCAAACATCCATTAGAGATTCTGGATAAATCCCAAAATTCATCTGACTGAGATTTTCGTCTTAATTCTGTGAGTTAGACCCCAAGGATGTCGAATATGATACAAAAATGGTTTTAAGTTTTCGGTATTAAGATTGCAAGAAGACTCCAACCTAGGTACTGGGTGGCATGGGAGGAAAGGAATGGGAAAAGGCAGAGAACATGTTCAGGAATCGTATAAACTCCACTCTGCCTGGGAGTGCTTATACAGTTCTGAAGAGTGGGGGAGAGAAGGAAATTCTGTTGACTGGTCTCAGGTGGCTACACGATAGCGGGCTTTTTGCCGCTATAGATGAGATTATTTTGTCCTTCTATGGCAAATTCTCTGAAAATAAAGCTAAGAAAAAACCCATAATAATAGCTAAATAAATGAATTTCTGGCTTCCTAAACAGGCTTGCATGATTGCATTCTTCACTTCCTGTCCCAGCTTCCCATTTTCTCTTCTTGTATATGGTTATTTTGGTGTTTTGGGTTTTTTTTTTTTTCTTTTTTTTTTGGATCATCACTGCATTTACCAACTCTGGAAAGAATTAATGACTGACACCCTTGTGCTCTGAGTCATTTTAGAGATGTCAAGAGTGTTAGTGGGGGGAACATACCATTAAATCCTAAAATGCTACACAAGGGGAAAGACAAATGGTTAACATCATAGGCTTCAATATACAAATTCAACTCTTTATTTAGCCTGTTTGACTCTTTGAAAGTACCTAAAACTTTGTACGCCTAAACTCCTCATCTATGTGCAATGGCACATACAGTGAAAGTCCTGGGGGCCTCAGATCCTAAAGTAACAGATGTTAGATAAATAGAGAGGCTTACTGGTATCACTTCTTTCTGCCTACAAAGCTGAAGATGATCTACTATGACACAACAAATTCGAGGGTGTTTTTAGGTACAGTTTATCTCTATGGACGGCATCGGTCCTCCGTCACAAAATTTAAATATGTAACTGCCGGTTTTAAAACACAGACACAAGAAATACTCTCAAATCTTTCCAAATTTATAACATCTTAGAGGTGTTTTCCTTTTGTGCAAATGATGGAGATTTGCTGGTAACCAGAACTGCCTACAATGAAGAAAGAATCGTCTTAAGACCCAGTTTAGAATGGCATGTTCGGTAGTTAAGTTTGGAAAGCATCAGCAGCCCAGGCAATCTACTTCTGTTACACTTAGCTGTGGAACCACACTCAGGAACAGTCTAACTGACACACGAGCAGCCTCTGGACATCTGGGACGTTACAAACCTGGCCATGTCTTCAGATAAACCTGACAGAGGCAGCTAGCTGGTGATCTGGTTCTATATTGCCCGTTGAATAGCGGTGGAGATGTTTATCTGGCTACTGTCTCACACACCCTCCCAGCTTATCTTTCATTTGATGGCAGCAGCAAATAAAGCTGCAATATTCCAGGAACCGAGCGTATCAGATAGACAGGGCACAGCTGACAGAATGTGAGAGGACAGGAGCTTTTTTCTAAGGCTGAGGCTATCAGTCAATACATTCTGTTCCAGTGCCTCCAGAAGCTGTTCTATGTGCTGAAGCTGTTCTATGGACAGTGTAAAGATGTCACTCAGTAGGTTCACTTAGAAAACAACATTAAGGCATCCTCTGCAGGAGAAACACAATAGCGTTTGGGGTAAAACTTGCCTTTTTTCTGTTTGTTGCCAGCTAGTGATATTCATGTGTGCTTTCAACCTCTGCTAGCAGAGATGCTTTTGCACCAGTGAGGGCAAAGCCAGGCCCCCAGAAGTGCAGTAGTGACTACTGTTCTTTGAAAAACACAGCATATAGCTACAAAGACCTGTGAACTTCACTGTGTCCCTTCCAAAAGGGAGCCTATCCCAAGAACACAGGAAAAAAAAATAGGCAGAACATAATATTGTGCTTTTTTTATATGGCTGCTTTTAATCCAAAGAGCTTTGCAAACCGCAAATGCACGCAGGAACTGTTTCGACAATACGACAACACACAACCCACTTGATGATGCACAAAGATTGCCCAACAGTGCAGGACCTCAGCCGCGATAAAAGTGTTTCTGTTATCGTAGGGGATGTTGGAGTTACAATCCTGCTGAGATGCTGAGCAGCACGCATGGAGGCAACAGCGTGCCTGAGAGGGATTAGCAGGCAGACATGGAAACGGACTGTCTCTTAAACCTTTCACATCTGCCCAATCCTCTTAAGAGGAAAACTTCCTTTTTGTGCCAGAACACAAGCAATAAGCTCTTTCTAACGGTGTCCATTCAGTCATATTTGGCCAAAAAAGATAATGACATGATACTTGGGAATCTGGGGACAAGAAGAAAACACCTTCCTGGAAGGCAACCAAGAACGTAAAGGAATGAACGTCTTCAAAAGAGCATTTGGGTAACATGAAGTTGGATTGTCATCTCTTACACTTATGCTGTACCGACTCCATAGCTGCACTCACAGCACACTCCCTGTGCTCCAGGACAGCTTGTATATAATCACTGGACGCTTCTGCTCGGCCTTTCAGGGATAATTGTTCCATGCAATGAATGCTGCAGCAAGCATGCATAGACTGAAATGTCCCCAAGGCACGCTGAGCATTGTGCCAGCAGATACGCAGGAGCTGGCTGGCTATGGAAAGGACAGAGTGTGACTGCTAGGCGCATTCCCCTTGATGAGTGGAATGGTACTTTTTCTTCCAAACACAATTGCTGTGCATCCTTTTCCCTCTCAGCCCACAATCACCACACATTTCCCCCACACTGGTCAGCCTGAAGCAGCCGTCCTTCCCTCTCCCAGCTCAGCGAGCCCATTTCCACTCTCCAAGAGGATCACACCAGCTTCCCTGCGCTCAGAGCTGAGGCAAGGCCTCCCTCCATCCCTTCTGCAGCCTCTCCACACAGCTCCTGCACGCGAACCGCCCTACAGCGGCCATCT